TATTTTTTTATTTAGCTTTTGTCCCCTTACATTCACTTATCTTAACCACACTATTCATAAATTATTAAAACCTGGAATGGAGATTTTTACACGATGCAAAATTTAAAATACAGTTTATGATTTTGTATTTAGCATGTATTTTTTCTATAAGTGCATTTTATATGTAAATATTATCAGGGAGTGTAACTTACCTGTAGAAAGCTAAGTTGCAAGTATTTTCGGTACATTTTTAACAGTCAACATTATAAATCAGCCAAAAAAACTTTTTAAGTTCTAGATCTTAATAAGCACTCTTACTATTAATGTAAAACACACTGAATTCTTGTCGGTACTTTTTTTTTAGTTTATCGTGTTCAAAGACACGCTTACATATGGGAACAGACATTTATGAAAATGGATTTTTACTTAAGCACTAAGAGATATTATTTACACCGTCCAGTATTTCAAAGGCTTAAATATGAGGAGTTGAAGAGTTCATTATATTAATATAAAGAACAAAAATAAACTTCTATCATAATTTCTCTTATGAAATATGAGACTGCATTGTTTTATTATAAAATTGCGGCCGTGTCTGCCTTTTTTAATGCCGAAGAGACGTCAGGCGTTAGGCGTCTCAGGAATTTTAATCGCATCCAACCCAAGCCGGCGAGTCCAATAAAAAAAAGAAGGCAGGTTGAATTTCGGAGGCAGCCTCTAGCTCCGACCTTCGGGCCTTTTGTCTTAGCAAGAGTCCGCATTATACGAACTTTTTAATGATAACGGAATGCGACCTCTTCCGTATTTTATACTATTAAAGGAAAAAAAGTATATATTATTAGATTATATGATATATTATGATGTCTTTTATATTATAAGATTATATTATGATGTTTGTTTTTTAAGTTGGAATTCAAATCGTGAGCGTCTTTTGATTATGTACCTTTTATTACATACGAATTTAATAAAACATGTCAACATGTCAGTTATATTAGCGTTAATAGTGTAGTAAAATGCAACAAATATTAAAATATTAATAAAACAAAAACATACATAATCAATCACAATAAAAAATAAAAAAAAATCCACAAATTTCAAGATGGGAAGAGAATCCAAATGTACCATCATCCAGTAGATAGCCAATAAGAAGAAAAAGACAAAATTGTTTCTGAAGAAGCGTGGGTGCAACTGAATAAGAAACATGCGCGACACTGTAAGTTGGAAAGGGATGGAGATATAGAGTCAAAATACCGGTCCGAGGGAGGCATACTTTGTACGAACCCCTAAGGCCATCAGACATAATAAGAAAATAATAATTAATTCTTCTTTCTAATCAGATTCAAATTTCCGCATGAGTATTTTATTGAAAAGTCATGTGTTGTTTTATTAATTGTTGCTTGGAAGATAGATAACTTTTTATTGTTAACAATACACTATTTACAGAAACAAACATAAATTAAACTTAATTAATATGCATAACAATTGGTGGCCTTATCGCTTAGAGCGATTTCTTCCAGACAACCTATGTACGGAGAAAGAGTCATTATAACCGAGGCGGGGGTGTACATGGGAATAACAATACATTTATTCATGCTTGTAGGAAAAGTTCATTATTTTGTTTCTGCGCACAAACCAAGAACATAAGTATAATTACAAAAACATGAAACGTTGCAGCATATACCAACTTGGAGGTAAATTCTTGTCAACTTTATGATCGACTCCATGAGGAGTTTTGATAAACTCCACGAAATTGTAAGAGCGCAGCTGGTTACAGGATCTTTTAAGTACTGGACAGGGACAGGATTGCAAATGCGTGTAAAAGAATTCCGGAACAAAAATGCGCGCCTACCTGCGCACTCGCACCCGCCCGATGTGTCCCCGCACCGAGCCGCATTCCTCCTTTAAACCTCTTAAATTGATTACGTGGAAAATCTGAGAAAATCGCGGGGCTAACTACGCGCGGCGCGTGACCGCCCCGGCCACATGAAATTGTTATCTTTTTTCATTCCGCACCGCGTCGTTGTCGCAGCCGGCTTCTTTAACTGGATTACAGTCATTATGACGATTGTTTATTGTCGCCTAGCTAACGAGCTTCTTGGTTGAAGTGGAGTGTAATATTTATTTTAATTGTCCGAGTATGCCGTGGTTCGCGTGCCGGGGACACAGGACGAGGTCATCGGGGTCCGTTAGGGCGATGCGATGGTTCAGGCCGACACCTCGGCGGGCGCGCGTTTCGATTCGACGAACTTATTACGACAGATGGCCGCGGCCCGGGAGGCGGGAGCGGGCGCGGACCCCGGCCCTTCGGAGAGATCGACCTCCGAAATGCGCCCGAGATTGCATTCTTTCGGCGGCGCGGGCGCATTCCACCGCGCGCCATCCGAGCTCCGCGCGCCTGCGCCAGTCGACGCGCGCCCTTTTGGGGGTTAAGATGTGTCCGTTGCGGCGGGCGCTCACGATGTGGTCCCAGCCGCCTCCCCCCGAACCCGACCCGCCGACTTTCCGTGCACGCGCAGCCTCCGCCGGAGCGCACACCTGGTGCCGCGGCTGTTTCGGGACTCGTAAGCTCGCTCGCATGGTCCGTGAACCCCCCGAATACGGGGTGCGCGTAGATTCCAGTTCCGCGCGCCCGCCTGGTCTGCAAGTTCGTGACGAGCCCACATACCAGAATCTCGATGAACTCCGCAAGCGTCCCGAGTACGCTAACCTTGATGAGATCAGTCGCGAATTCGGTTATCGTCTGTGTCCGGAAGGTCAGAATTTGGAGGACGAAGCGATATACGAGAACATTTTATCAGTGCGCCAGATTCGTTCCGCGGAAGTGCGTTTAGTGCCCGTGTCTGAAGTGGCTTACTACGAAGGTCAGGGCTACGTCGCCACGCAGGTGCTCAGTCGGAACGGCACCTTCCCGCAGTGTCCTCCTCACACTTGGAGCCGTCTGCAGCAAGCGTGTAGACTCACAGGATCCCTTCGGATGTTCACAGTAAATACATTTCGAATATATTAGTACCATATTAGTGTTCGATCGGAACCAGTCGTACGGCGTGTTTTCGATGGCATGTGTATTAAAATATTTCAACCAGAACAGGATATGATCGTATGAAATGATGTTTCAGTGTATTCACTTTTTGTTCGCATTCCGAGCAAAAAGTAGTTGCTCAATATAATAAATACTGTGGGTATTTATGTCCGTTACAAAAAACACATAGGAATTTTGTTCTAATGACTTGTTAATTTTGGAAGTAACCCGTTGAATTTCTTATACACTTGTGAAATACGGTAACCTGCTTCTGACACGATCTAACTATGACTTTGCACCAACTTTGGATCCATTATAACCCTATGACATCATTACGTTCAGTAATAATATATTTATTGTTTTATGCCGCTCTATTATTAAACATATAACACGTTGCGAACATTCTTGTTTAATGATAGTGTATGCTGATGAGATTTAGTTAGTTTTCTTCATAGTATAACATTTGCTTCAGAAATATTCTTTAAAAAAAAATTTTTTTTTGAAGTTTATTATTATAAGAATAAAGATTCCTTTAAAAATACTAGATAAAATTATAACGAAGGTAAATTAACTCAGGATGAAATAACTTTAACAAATCATAACATACCTATTGCATCAAAAAAAAACCATGTACCCAAACCAAGGATCCTATTATCAAGACTCTGCTGTCGGTCCGTTCGTCGCTCTGTTAGTCAATCCGTTTGTCATCAACAGGCTGTATCTCGTAATAGCTAGACAGTTGAATTTTGCACAGGTAATGTATTTCTGTTGCCTCCGTAATTAAAAACAGATTATAATAAATATTTAAGGGGGTTCGTATGCAAAAAATGTGATTTATCGATTTTTTTTTATAGACAATGTTACGGAACCCTTGGTGCGTGAGCCCGACTTGCACACGGCCGGTTTTTTTTATTATAGCCCATGTTTTTTACTAGTGAAATGATTTTCAAAATAAATCCAATGCCTAGTTAGCTTATGAGTTTAACCGTTTCAAACAAACAAAGCATCATATCATGTAGTTATTATATTACCACGAATTAACAAAAATCCGTTGGTATTAGTAAACCGAGATCAAGATACTTTTATCATCATAATATTGTTGAGAAAAAAAAAACATTTAAGGACATTGTTGTTTCAAAATTGAGCTGCGTTATTTTCATAAAAATTTATATGTGAAATCTCCCAGTGTTTGTCTATTTCTCTGGATACTCCTTTGTATAAGTATAAAAAAATACTTTTGTGCACGCACTTAAGTAAAATTTTAATTTTCATATAATTAATACAAAAGGAAGTAGTAATTCAAAGGCACGGTGTTTGTGTATGTTAAGGTTTCATGTAAGCTGCAGTGTTAAGTTTACAATATGATTTTTTGATGACGTCAAAAGAAAACGATACCATTACCACAGCCATTACTAAGTGCTTACTGCATGTAAATTGTACTCGTGTGAAAGAATAACATGAAAATAATAATTGTAAGACAACATCACATACATTCCTCAGATATCAAATTAAGTAACTAAAGCATTTGTGTTATAGAAAAATGACACGACGAAATTATAAGACCCAGACCAGAGACAATACGGAGAAGTTAATTTTCTATATTGACTAAACCGGGAATCGTCAAAGAATGAAAAGAAAATTTTGACTAAGACACCGTTGTTCGAATTTTATACTCAAAATTTCTTTATGATGTACTTTATGAAAACATATTTGGATAAACATCATTATTCTCTTTTTTTTAATTAGTGCTTGATAATAAGTACTTTGATTTTCAATCATTACGTGTTTTGTAATCTATAGAATGGTATTTTATGTACGTCACAAAAAGAGTGAGCAGAGTTGATGTGAAAATGAGTTGAAATACCGAGACCTATGATCTAGCTAGAGAATATGCTATTGAGCTAAATGAAAAGTAAAAAAAAAAAAACTGTTGAAGTTACATTTGAGTAGCTGTTTTCCTGCAGCTTCCTGACGTTTTCTAATATTTTTATTTATTTGTCCATAGGCTAAGAAGGAGATGTACGATGTCAAAAAGCAGAGGTTGTGTTTGGCCCAGGACGAGTACAAACACCTGAACAACGCTTTGTCAACCCTAGCAGCGTCGAGGACCAGTTGTAAGATTATTTTCTTAAATAACAAGAGCTGGGATTGTTTTATTTTTATTTAAATTAGAGTTAGAATATATTTCTTTTTATTAATATTTTCAACATAATTATCAGCGTCTATGTACTGCTGGATATAGGGAAAATTCACTATGCAGGTCTATTTTGGATCAGTTAACGACTGCAGCAGGGAATAACGGTTTGTCGTGTCTTTCGAAGACGGAGGAGGTCTTTTGTTCATCTATCCTATGAATGGCCTTTGCGAAAGATAAGCTTCGTATTCACAGACCAAACTCTATTGCCACTGCGAATTATATGCACTAGCGATATTTGCTTTTAAAATTATTTGTTGAGGACTTTGTCTCTGTTGCTCTTGCGATATTTACGTTTATTTTGTCTAACTGTATTATAAATAAATATGTGTAATAGATATAATAATACATGTTTCTGCTAAGCTACCTTTTCGATCTAACTATGTATGTGGGAGTAGAGAGAGACAGTTAGATAACCTTTTTTTTCTAATGGAGGAGATCGTATTTCCCTGCTCTAATGATTTTATTATAGATGGGTTATCTATACACCTAATAATAATGTGACTTATATGACCTGTGTAATATATAAAACCATTTCTATAGAATGCATATACTCTATCATTTGGAAAGTAAAATGCTTTTTGCTGCGCGATTAAATTGCTATTACGGAATAAGATTTAAAAGTACACATGAGCTAGACCTTCTTGTTCAGTGCCTACTTGGTAATTTAAACCTTAAGTCAGATACTAAATTGTTATCGTAAAAAGGCACTAAAGACGTTACGGTCGTAAAAGCATGCGACTACATGCTAAATAAATTTTCCATCATTTGTAGCTAAGGGTTGTCACTTGTTACTTTACTTCTTTCGATTAAACTAATTAAATATATAAAATTAGCAGCTTAAAAATTGAGGAGGAAGTAGATTTTGACACTGACATTGTCAATACTGTGGGTAGATACTATACTCTCTCTACTCTAGTTTTCTTTAGCAATATTTCATTTCAAAACAAATTTTATTCAAATTGAATTGATCTGTTGATATAATAACATAATTTTAAATCATTTATTGTATGAATATTTTTTACTGTCGATGAGATATACGATGAAATAAGAAAAAATCTAACTTGGAAATATCAATTTGTAGTATGCTCGTCGACGACTTCAATGACAACGACCTCGACGACCTCCCGTCATGATCCCGATCAGCTCCGAGTGGAGGTCACGCAAGCAAGGGGGCGAGTCGCACAGTTAAGAAAGGAGTTGCGGCAAGCAAGGGCTGAAGTGGCAAGCGCTAGGAGAGGGGTGCATACTTTGGCCGAGTGAGCACCCGATTTTAATTCTTTCTCTAGTGTCTGCCCGCAACACCATCTAAGAGAGGAGTTCAGCAGTGCTATTTCTAGCATAGCATAGAAGTTCCTTCGAATAAAACTTACTTTGATGGTGTCATTGAACCTCTATGTTGTCAAGCGTTGCACTTTTAATGTCAAATTGAGGCTATTTTTATAACTGAATTTATGATAAATTAAAGCTCGACAGGGGAACGCAAGTTATCCGATAAATATATTAGTAAAAGCAGATAATTTATAAGTATTAGAGATACAGATAATTATGGTATTTAATTTTTAGATAACATCTGTAGAACGTCTTATTTTTTGGATCCTAGTTTCAATCTGATCAATTAGTTACATTCTATCATGCCTTAGTAAAATGGTTTTATTGTAAATATGCTTTCTTTTATTTTAGAGTGGAACAAAAAATCAATTCGCAACAAGGTTGCTACAATATTACGGAGGCTCAAGCGATCATGACTGAGCTGAAGAACATTCAGAAGTCTCTTACATCGGGGGAGAAAGAGAGGGCAGATTTAATGCAATCACTTGCAAAGTTAAAGGATGATCTTACGAGGCTTCAGCTTGGTGATGCGTCACCAGATCTGTCGACATTAAGTCTTCCACAGGAGAAATTGAGCACGGCATCCCAAACTGACCTCTGTGCCGACTTGGTGCCAATTCAAACTAGATTAGCTGAAATGGCAAGAGTTCGGTTCCAATATGACGAAGCTAGAAAAAGGATACAACAAATCCAGCAACAGCTTGCAGATTTAGAAGATAAAGTTCAACCTGGTCAAGCGGAATCTGATAAGGACCGACTTTTATTATTCCAAGAGAAAGAGCAATTGTTACGAGAACTCAGGAGTATAACTCCAAGGACGAGGTCGAAGCAAGAAATGAGTGATATCCAAACAGAATGTAAGAGATTAGAACAAGACTTGAAGAATGCTTTTGAGATGTCAAATAAATGTATAGCGGATAGATTAAGACTTCACGAAGAAAAACAGCTACTTTTGCAACAATTGAAAGACGCTCTTACGTCGATGACGACTTTAGAAGGGCAATTAAAGACATTGTCAGCTAGTACATTGTCTGTTTCGAGTAGTTCCAGCTTGGGGTCTTTGTCTACAGCTAGCAGTAAAGGCTCTTTAAGTTCTGGAATCAGTTTTACGGATATTTATGGTGGCCCGCAGATAACTAGTTCTTTCCAAGTGGACAAACCTGTGGATATGGTTGATCTACATCGAAGAGTTGAAAGGTAATAGTTTTTATTTAATTTTATCAAGCCATTGTGTCAAATATTTCATATTGTAGGTGGTTCTATTGTTTCAGTAATTTAAAATATAATGTATAAATAGGGTATCGTTTGATATTTGTTATATTTAAATGTGTTTAATTGGTTGTTTTCAATATTTTTTATAGGGTGTTGGCTAGCACAAATAGCATATTTGTTTTTATTACTGTATAAGGATATTTCTCTTGTAGGTTACTTAGAGGCTCCAGTTATAACGCAGACAGTGGGACACCTGGAGCGAGCAGTTCCCATTCACAACCTTCATTATCGCCAAGAAGTAGCTTATCCTCAGCCAGCCCTCCGCCGCCACCGCCTTCGTACACACAGGTAATTTTTCGTCAAATCATTTTTGTATACGGCGGTGACCAAATTTTTTTGATTGAGCTTGTTTTAGCTTTTACAATTATAAGCAGTTTAAATGGATAACAATGTTGCAATCATAATTTTCGCCTTGAGTTTTCCATTTCTTTCCAAAAAATGTTCCTTAGTTTTTGATGAATATGAAAAAACCGCCTTGGTTCGACTGTTCTGGAGTATTTAGTAATTCATTTTTATATTTAGATAATCGTTCTGTATATATTTATCTCTTCTCGTCTTCTTTTACATTTATTTTTTATAAATTTACTTTTATTATAATTATATCAGTAACGTTTAATATATTTGGTGTAAGTTATAGAAAAGATTTCTCGAACGTAAAGTCACACATGTTAAATTTATTTATAAATATACCAATATATGCCATTATTTGAATAAATAATGGATTTTATGAAGTATTTATATATTGTGTAACATGATATTGGACTTGAATAGGTATCAGATTAGCATTCACAAAACATTTGACATTAACGCATGGGGGCCGAGATCTGACCAAGAGATAAGATTCTCACTTTTCGTTTATCTAATGATAGAGGTCAACTGAGATGGACGGACGGATAAACGCGATAGGCATTGTTATTTTTGAAGAGCTTGTCTGTCATGTGTAGTAACGTTTGGGCAAAATCGGTGTAGGCGTACAATTGGGCAACACTATGTTTGAAATAACCATTTCTCTGTACATGTCTAAAGGTCAATAAGGTTGATTTTCGTTTAGCAGTAAATTGACATTTGACAAACCATGCCTCATGCTAAGTGGTCTTACGTTTTAGGAAAATCAGATCCACTATATTTCAACTATTTAGCGTTAGATGTGATAAATCAATTCATTTATTTTCCTGCTCAATTAATTATTTTTAGTTGCATGATCCATTAAAAATGTCAGACAAAAAGAGAGAGAGATATATAAATAGACGGCATGTATAAGAAAGAAACAGAAAATAACATATATATATTAGTTAGCTTCCGTTTTCAGTGTCTCTAGAATCGGTCACATAACGCCATAGCATCGCCTTTCCAGTCTTACAATTGCAAAAGACTGATTCCTAGAATATTTATTTATTTTAATACACTGCTTCTATTAGGTTGAAAGGCAAAGGCGGCAGCAGAAAGAATTAGAAGAGAAGCTCGCTGAAATGAGGATAGATGTTGCCACTGGACTAAATGAACTTGCAACAAGTAAGTTAAAATTTATCAGTTTACTTGCCAGTTGCACAAACGTCCAATAAATTTTAATTAGTTTAATGTCACATTACCAGCACAAATTTTCAAATTTAGAACTTTAATTCGGGCAGTTATTACTTACATAAATTCTTGTACGTAAATTATAAAACATTTATAAATTAATTAATATTATTACGTATTGATAGACGATATTTAGCTATAAATGTTGGATTTAAAATATTTATTATTTTTACCGCTTACAAAATTAAAAAGCAACGTTTTTTTTAGTTCCAGTTCAATTACAAGGCCCTGGCCGACCCAGTGAACCGTTATCGCCCATCTCCGAAACTCCCCCGCCACCGTTGTCTCCTCGAACACCCTCTTCTAGTGGTAAGTTACTCAAAAAGAATACCAAATACAGGGACCTTAAGCTAAAAATATTTTATATCTAGTACCCCATTTCAGTTCATTGCGCTGACGTGTCCCATGCTATTTAAAAGAAAATCAAAATTCAAAAAAGATATATAAATCTTTTTTTGTTCATTACTCTAAGACGAGTCGCGTCCAGGCTGCATGTTTATAACAATGTTTTTTGAAAAGTTAACTTTGCTTTTCAACAAATAATACAATTTCAAATATAATATAACAGACTGTAAATCGTTAAAAATCATCAAGTTATTGTACAAAAAGTGCTCAGTTGTTTTTTTATTATTATTTAGGTACAAATACTAGATCAGTGTCGGCAGCAGTGAGCGACGAGTCCGTGGCGGGCGATTCTGGAGTGTTTGAAGCGGCGCAAGCGCAAAATGATCCTTCCAATGCCGGTAATTTGAACCATAATCTTAATAAAATACAGTTGACACTTTGAAATAAAGAATATTTATAAAAAATAAAGCTATTGGCATAATTCTACTAATGTCGCTCCTGTTGGAAATAAGAAACTTACCCTATGGATAGAAAAAGGAGGACAATTTAAAATTACTATGCGGGCCTGGAGCGAATTTTTGAATTTTGTTAACTGTAGATTCAGCTGATATATACACCTTCTGAAATATCAAGGATCTCGAGATTATAAATGTTTAAGGATACTCATTAGATATTCGTATAAACCATTGCGAACGTTTTGACTAAATACGTGATTCACATTACTGTCTCATTGAGACCTTTAGCCATTATCATCATTATATCAACGATTCGACGCCCGTTGCTGGGCATTGGTCTCCCCCATTAGTCTCCACGACGATCGGTCCTGCATTGCACGCATCCAGCGATTTCCCACGTAACATTTTTATTTTTGTTCACAGTGAACAGTGCGCAAATTGAGATCAAATTGCGCTACTGTCCAGATGAAACCGCATTGGAGATCGGTATACTGCGCGCGCGTAACCTTCACGCCTTGTTCATAGACGTAGGAACTGAAGTGTGAGTATTTAGTTTTTTACTATAAAAATTACCATAAAACAAGTTAATAGCTTGACAAATTAAGGATATAGCAGCTTTTTGATAGAATGAAATTAGCGGTTAGACCAGGGACTCCTAAACTTATTTCGCCTCCTGTCCACTTTGAGAATAAATTATATTTTAGCGCCGCCATTTTTTCACTTACTTAAAACCAATATAACGTCATATTAAATTAATTATCGTGAGCTTTATTAGCGGAGATTAAACATTCATTATTTCCAAGAATTTTTCTATAACCCACAAGAGTTAACTTGAGAGCTGAGCGCAGTATGTGGTACACAAGTCTCTAGTTAACTCTCCTAAGCCTCTATACATCGCCTCCATTTATTTTTATGTGGCTCTCACTGCCTCCATTAAGGCTTGCAGTGCCTACAAGGACGCATTATCGCCCATTTTGAGAAAGGCTGTGTTAGACCATCTATTGCCTCTGAAGTATTTCCCTCAGTCAACCTTAGTAATATAATACCGCAGATTCACGTTATCTACTCTTCATCAGCAGGCCTACCGTGTGACTGTCTACTTACATTACCTTCGATTTCTTTGGCAATCTAAAAAATCATTAAATACTACAGACTGTTAAATTGGACATTCCAATAAATCCGGTTAAATCAAAATACGACAAAACAAGATTTTAACCAAAGTGTAGGCAATGTTACGAGATCTGTTGTCTTTTTTATAAGACCTCAGAGAATTGGTCGAGCCGTGATCTTTTAAGTCTTCATTTTCCAGCGTGTCATGTCACACTCAATTATTGAATAATGTTTGTTGTTTAATATACAGTGCGGTTCGTGGAGCTCTGGTAGTAGGTGGGGGCTGCGGAGTCCCATTCAGTAGTCCCGCGTTGCCGTGGCGCGGCGCCGCCCTCAACTGGAGGCTGGTGCAGAGAGCCGCTGTTGCGGGACCCAGGGCCCTAAGAGCTGCCACCTTACAAGTTAATCTTACTCTAGGAGCTGAATGTTTGGTAAGTTATAATTGTCATTATTATTTGACGTTTTTTTATAAATGTAATCAAAATTTCTCAAACGTTACGTTTTTATAAATATAAAATATTTGTATTGTAAATATGTCCAATAGTATTATTTTAAAAGTAGCTACATTCTTAATAAAAAAAAGATAATAGACACTAGACTTAAGTGAACACTGAATCTGTTAAAAGTCCGTAACGTCATGAAAGCAAATAAAAATGCTCTGAAATCGTAAAATACATTTAGTGTAACCTATTGACAAAACACTTACGATAAAACATAATATAATCTGTTTAGTTTCCGAATCAAGATAACATTTTACAGCAAAAAAAATCTAAATTTTATCATAACAATTGGTATATCAAATTTTCTGTATCTAACCTAGATAATAATAGATGACAAATGCATATAATACACATATTTGGAATTAGCAATACTGTCGATTAAGTAAAAATAATCGATGATGATATCTAGCCAAATTTGAGTATTCGGCTAAAAGCCTCGAGTGCCATGTGAACAAAAACGAGGCGAGAGCGATTCTAACTGAGCAAAAAATTAGACATTACAAATTTGACTTTAATCTTACAAATATTATAATTAATTTTTACTGAACAGGGTTGCGCTCAAGTCAGCTTAGCGGATTATGATCCGGAAACGGTTCTTCAGAAGTGGTACAACGTGCTCAGTTTCCGTTGCATGCGAAGGGACGAGAGCTCCGATGAATCTACCGTCATATCCTCCCAGACTTCTACTCTAACGAGAAACAGAGGTTAGTACATAACCTAGATAGTTTCTGAAATAACAAATCACACAATCGCTCCAATATGGATGGGATTTACATTCAGCTCACTCACAAACTCCAGGCTATCATCAACAAGTCCATCTTTAGCTAGTCAATGAATTTTCTTTGTAATAAACCTTACCGAATGACTTTCGTGGCCAAGTTAAGTGGCTCATGACCCGATTTTATGGTGTCAGCATATCTGAAAATAAACATTTACTGAGTTATAATGATAGTGATACTTTCATTGTTTTGGATCTCCAAATAGTAGGACTTGTGCTTTTGGTATCTTGTGTATCTGAACAATGTATGTGATTTTATTGAAGATTTCATTATTGTTTTAAAGTCATTGTATTTTAATATTTAGGGGGTTATTTTTAGATAATTCTTTTGTCACTATCGATTTAACTTTATAAAAATACTTCCGTTTGTTTGTAATCAGGTCCTGAATGTATGATGGGCGGGGATAATGTGGACTGTGGAGATAATTCAGCATCTGACGATGACGAGTCTAGAGAGCCACTAAATCAGGTAAGGATCCGATTTTTACCGACAATATTTCATCATCAGCTTATTAATGTCCCCCACTACTGCAGTCTGGTGGAATAGAATTCAAAACGAAGAATGAAACATACCGTCCAAAACACAATAAATAATTTTGGTCACCCATGCTATGACCAGCCCTTGCGAAAAATTGCTTAACTTACGCATTAAGATACGATGAGATGGAACGCCCTTACGACTGTGCCAGTGACCTCATTTAAGAGTATTTTGATATGTCGTAATAAAGGAAAACACAAATTTATTGGTTTAGTAGTCTTTGATTTAGTCCCATAGTATTGCGTTGGGAAGGGATAATGTGGAAATGTAGGATGAATTATAATGCACAATATAATTTATTCAAATCATGCGTGCTGCTTGACAGCAAAAAATGTTAATATAATTTAATGTTATATATATTATAATATAATTTGACATATTTACTACACCATATTTGATGCAATTCCTACAAATATAATTAATGGAAGGCTCGAAAATATACACATTTTTCAATTATGTTCTTTATCTTATTTATATGCCATGTCATTACATTTCTTGCGAATGTATACTGCCAATTTTGCCTTGATTGGGTTTTTTCTGTTACTAAACGCTCTGTTTGTTGCTATTATTTTTATAAGAAACTTAATGATATGATCATTAAGATTCTTTAAAAATATAAAAGTTATCTACTCAAATAAATCAGGAGAGACAGACAATATTTTTTTTTGTGGCATAACAAACACATACATGTTTGCCATGGACTTTTATAAATAATTTAAAGCTCTAAAATTTTTCTTCAAAAATCATCCACATTTTCCTTCCGTTTAAGCACCGTCCAGCGTTCAAATAGCAAAAATATGCGCCCTTCAGTACTTCAAAGAACGTAAAGTGGTATAAAAAGTAGCCTATGTGTGTACTTGGTGTTACTTCAGCAGCAAATTTCACCAAAATTTGTCCAGTAGTTTTTGCTTGAAGAAGTAACAAGCATCCAAAACTACAAACTTTCGCTTTTATAATGTTAGTAGTAGGATTTTGATGTTATCGGTCAATGCACAAATGTCATTAGTTTAAGGCGACAGTAACCATACAAAGACATTCGTTAGATCTTAAAGGCGTCATTAAATCTTAATGGACGTTTGTGCCACTGACCGTGTCTATAGTAATATTATAAAGAGAAAAGATTTGCTTATTTATTTTGCATTGAATGTGGATAGTATAGTAAAGGTTTGTCTTCTTAACAGATAGTAGAAGAAGACTCTTTCGAGGACTACATTCCTGAGGACATAGCATTAGAAGAGGAATTCCTCCATCCGTCTACTGCCGAGAAAGAGACCAACACTGAATGTAACTTTTGCCCAGAGGGAGCGAAACAATTGCACAAAAGGTTAGTTATGTCGATTTCGCAAATACTCCAACAACCGTTATAAGTGGATTTTCGTATCCACTTTGGAAATCGAATCGTTACAAGAACAGAGATTCGTTCGTATTTAATAGTTTAAATGAATAAGTTTGAAAATGTAAACAAAAATATATTTTTATTATAAAGGTTAAGGGTGATTTTATTTACGCTGTATATTTTGCTTAATCAACTCGGTGGTGGCTAATATATTTTTTATTTATTTGTAAGGAATATAATCAGAGGGATATTTGGAGTGCGCATTCTGCAGACACTTTAATTAATCCAAAATCACGGTCATAGAGTTATAATAATATAAATGAAAAAAAAAAAAAAATATGAGATCTAGATTTTTAATGCTTACAAATAGACCAATGCTTTAATAGAAGATATTGATATTGTATCTAATATATCTTTCTAAATTATAATAGTATAGCCAGCGTTAGGACTGTGACTTTAAATTAGTACACAACACTAGTTGTAATATTTTAAGTTCTACAAAAGTAATACTTGTGGCACAATCAATTATATCAGTAAATTATCGTTAGCTTTTATCTTTCGTCTCTTATTAGCCGATAAATATAACGTCACTCCGCATATTTGTACACCTAACCTTATAATATTTTGCATAAAAATCTGTAGCAATGTTATTGAGTATAGTATAATTTAGGATATACTAACCTTGGTGATGGTATTGAGTCGTATCTCTCCCAGCAGATATGTGAGGGTCCCTCGGGTGGAAGCGGACGGCCGGCCTGCCTGTTCCGCGCTAGAGAAATAAACCAATCGCCCTGTACATACGTACATTGTATATATTGTTTTATATAGGTACGTTTGCATTGTGCTTGAGGTGTTACTGCTTGAGTTACGTCTTTATTTTACTAAGGGTTGGTTGTTGCGCGTTATTTCAATGATGATCAGTTATTCTTGAATAGTGTTCATGTGAATATAAGACTAGATTTTTTTGTTTAAACATGTATTCTCTTTGTCCATGTCTAAATCTTTGTAGGTCTATGGTTGAGGTTTACTGTCGGATAAATGTAAAAGCAAAATTGATACACAGTTTCCGCGTATATAAGGTGTAATATGATTATATGCCAGGACTTCGTAAGATGAATGGTTAAGTATACTGACCAATTTTTACTGTGGGAGCAACACTGAATTCACGACAATATAATCAGCAGTTTCAACCAAAATTGTAATAACAACACTCGCCGACTGTATGAATCAGCTGATCATTGTTCGTGAATTCAGTGTTGCTCCCATTGTAAAAGTTGGTCTGCATGTTTAACTGATCCATCTCACGGAGTCCTGGCATATCCTTATATATAAAATACGTCACAACTTATCCTTATGTTTTAATAACGCATGGTTTTAGTAATTTCAATTTAAATAGGAATTATTTATTTTGTGCATGGCTGGCATGGAACGAGGCACAATGTGAATGTATAAATTTTTATTTACACGAATTATATAACTACATATTAACGTATTATTATTATTAATAATATAAAAAATATGTTTATTTTTAAAATTATCTATTTTTAACTTTATTATGAGTGAATCAATATTTGATTTAATCGTTATTATATCGTTTTTTTACTGGTTAAGCTATCTTTTGGATGCCTAAAATGTTTCGTTTGTTGTTCATAGGAAAAGTCTACAAGTAAACACAAATCCTGAAGAACCTCAAGCTACAATAAAAAGATCTCAAACTTTCTCACCCCAACCACAGAGCATCGGCAAAGGGCAATATATTTGCAGGTTTGTCTTTCAATGAATAGTTTGTAATAAGTACTAAAGATTGTATACGACGGGTATTAATCTAGAATATTAGGGCATTTAATTATTATTCTTTAAATTATTTTATGCGTTGGAGTTCGGACGATCTCCGTGTTTGACACTTACATGTTGACGTTTACGGTTTGCTAAGTAATAATGACCTGTAGTATTTTTTGTTAATTGTCTAACCCAAGAATTTATTATTTTATTAACCTCTAAATTAAAATTAAATCTACCGATCATTTAAATGAATGCACATATTCATAAATTTAAATTTAATATTTTATTATTTGTGTTATTAGTTAAAAAGAAATATATATATAGTGGACTGAATGCTGATTTACGTTGTTCTAGATTAAACCGTTCCGAGTCGGATTCATCTATGGTGCAATACGCAAGAAGGGTAACGTTGCAGCCACCTCCTTCTGGCATACCTTTTGATCGAAGCGTGCGCGAGCGCAGATCACTAAGGTTTGTATTGACAAGAGTTAAAGGCTACAAGTCTTCAAATAAATTTTATTTTAAACATTTTTTAAAAGCGGTAATGTTAATATGGTTATTGATCAATAAATAATATATTAAATTAAAGATATATATAATTTATTGCTAATGAATAAGTAACTTTTAATAATTAGGTTCTAAATTCGTATATTTTTCAAAATAAAATCACTAATTTGAAACTGCGTGCACGTGACTTTATATAAGCCTGTGACGTACTAATGTGGCGACTCTCGACTGTCACTGTTATCGTCAAAACTCGCGAGTCTACATCATAACGTCATATTATAATTCCTCAAGTTCTAAACGTTTAGAACTTGAGGAATTATACAACAAGTTCTAAAATAATACATAATTTGTATAAAATATGACTGATGATACTAGTTATTGCACAAAGAAGGAGCTTTAGTCCTGACATGTCAACATCGAGATATGCAATCATCGTGTCTATATATCGCATAAAATATATCGCATAAAATAGCATTTTATATGATATTTAACTATTTTTCACATAAAAATGTTTGCGAGGAACTAAATAAAAAATTATTTTAGAAAGCAAAAATTGGCTATTAATATTTTATATCAGAACGCAACCATCAGAAAGGAATTTTTAAAAACCAGTCCCATTCATGATCAACGAGTAATGTATGCGCCATCACTTCTCATTTTAAGAAAAATCTATTGCTTTCATTACTTCCAAATTAATTAATGTTAAACATTCATAGTTCAAGTTTTAGTTAATTGTAAAAGACAAAAAAGCGTAACAACGACACGTAATTTTTGAAAAATTATCAAAAGCCATATTGTGTATGTTATTTGTGTTATATTAGTATTTTTATGACAGATGGGGCCGCGTTTCTGGTGGAGCATTGCGTCGTAGTTCGACGCGCACGCGCACCGCCCGCACATCACTCGATCTAGCTCTGGATCTACGTGCACAAAACGATCGTTTGGCCGATCTGCGCAATGAGATCGCCCATCTATCTCAGTTGAAGAAAAGGTTAGTACAGTTACTGATAAAATATTTGATATTGAAAATGACACTGCTCCTCTCGTCCCCGTAACCTTTTCGGGATATATCTTTAATAAATCTATTCACGTTTATGGTTCTCCTTATGTTTTTTTTTCTGTTGATTTAAAGGTTATCATTACGTTTGAAAGTTTTTATTTACTGAGATTTATTGTGTTTATAATTTTTATTTTTCTAATGTATAACTAAAAAACGTAATAACTGGCTGGTTAATAAACGCAAAATTCAAGTCACTAGATCGATCGAGCTGAAATTACACTAATAGTTATTATGACATAAAATAAATAGTTATTATGATATAAATAGCAGTTTGAATATCATTTGAATGCCGAAGTCTTCAACAGCAGTGTTTTTCTAAAGAGTTTCCATAAATTATTCTGAATTTAGCTGATAGCTCGGTGGCGTAGTGGATAAGCGCCGCGGCCCGCGATCGTTGTCGTTAAGCAACTTTCGCAAGGGTCGGTCACGGGATGGGTGACCAAAAAATTATTATCTTGAGCTACTCCGTGCTTCGGAAGGCACGTTAAACCGTTGGTCCCGGCTGCATTTGCAGTCGTTATTACCCTGCAATCCGTATTGGGCCAGCGTGGAGGGTCATGGCCTATCCTCCTTAACCATCCATAAGGAAGGCCTGAGCCCCTGCAGTGGGGACGTAAAAAGGGCTGGTGATGTGATGTGATTCTGAATTTGTTAAACAGGTTAGAAGAAGCGTGCGCTCGCGGCGATCCTGCAGTGGCTGCCTGGGTGGCTGAAGACGAATCTCTGAGGAGGCTCCTGTCGAATACCACGGACCCTGGAGATAAGGCCACCAGGCTCCTTCAACGTACATGCCGTGAGATCTACCGGCTGAGGAAGTCTCGTCAAGGGGGGAGGAAACCGGATCTCGTCACCTTCAAGTGAGTTCATGTCCATCTCCATTTTTATAATTAGTAACTGTGAAAATATTCTTAAACAAACTGACTTGTAAATTAGTTTTAGATCTTTTGATTTATACCTTTATACCTTCAAATCTGTAAAATGATAAATTAATGTAGCATTAACTGGTTGTATGTTCATGGACCATTGCTCTAGAATAGAAGTAAAGCTTCATACTACTTTTTGCAAATAATATAAACTTTAGAACAAGGCTAATTGTAGATTAAGTTTCGAGAATACTTTCTGAAGAAGAAAGAAAAGACTAATCTATAATTGAGTTCAATATTTTTTTTATTCATTGTCAACAGAGAAAAGATGGCATTCTTCACTAGAAGCAAGAGCACTGTACCGATTTTGCCAAACGAGGAAGATGCAGCATCTGAAGATGACTGGGAAGATGAATTGGAAGAAAGGCGGACTCCAGACGGACGCTCGTCCAAAACATTCTACGAGCTACGCGGTCTCATGGAAGCGTCAGAGAAATCCGACAAGGCTAAACAAAATTCAATCGAAAATAAAGAGGAACAAGTTATAGAATGCAAGAATCCATGTATCAACGAGCCCTGCTACGAAGACCTGCCGAAGTGTGAGGATGCAAACGTTGAAGAGAAAGAAGCCAAGACTGATAATGTGAGATATGAATTTGTTGTTGATAGAGTACTGGGTGTTCAGGTTTGAGTGAATGCAATCGAGTTGGCCTGGGATCATTTCATATTGACTTTATAAATGATATAGCTCCAAAATAGGTAAAAAATCTCACCGTACAGTTCTTTACTCTATCTAATCTGTGTAAACTATGAAAAAGTGTTTTTGATATTTGGGTAAAAAATATTTTTAAGCATATGAAATGGTCTGAAGCTATCCGTTGACAAATGGCGTTATATTACGGCACCTTATAAATTTGCAAATAAATATTTACTGTGATTATAATTGCCTATTGAGATTTCTGCAATGAAGACTGAAGTTGAAAAAATATAATATTAAAAATTGCTTATGTATTCGTTATTCGTAATATGTATTAATATAATATATCATTTATTTGTCAGGACTCTGAGTAATGTTCGTTACAAACACAGTGCCATAAAGAGTTCATGGAGTGATGTAAGAATTTGATATTATCTTTAGAATTTTGAACATCGCGTGAATTATTAACAAAGGGATCCTAATTATAAAAAAAATGGTTTTTAGACTGTTAAATTAATGAGTTTTAACATGCCTTTTTGTGTAATAAACGGTATACAGTTTTATACTTATAAAATCAGTTGATTTTCCTGTTACAGCGGTTCAAAATTCGTAGTGATAATTATTATACTTGTATTTTTATATAGTACGCATCTCATATTGTATTAATAACCGTGCCTTAAACTGTTGGTGCCTTGAAAATTGTTTGAAAGCCTGCACGTGTGCCATAGAGTGGCATATATGATGAAATGAGGAGTATCGTCAGTGGCGACCAAGAGATTGAATAGACGAGTTACAATATACATTCATATAAAATTAAGTGCAAAATAGAAGTGATTCAATAAGTTAAATTATGTGTGAATTGTGTGCACATTTGAATTAAGAACTATCAATTTTCACTAAACTCTCACTTTGCGCTACTCTTGGCCTGCTCTGACTTTGATTAGGTACAAAATAGAAGTATGGAGAGTCACAAAATATGATGCCAAACAATTTGAACATAGCAGCGGACGATCTATTTCAAAACTGTACATAAATACGTAATTTTATTAATGCCCACCGAGATAGTGGTTCTGCTGTTGCGTTTTGTTAGGAAAACCTCCACCGAATACATATGACTTGATAGGCCAAAAAAGTACCTACTGCTTTGTAAATAGAGGCGACATTTCAGAGAACTCGTCCAAAAAAATTCATTCCTCGTAGGCCCAGTTTCTTATCCCAACAATCTCTTAAAATATATTTTGACTTTGACGTATGGTCCATATGGAATATAAATTTTTAAAAAGGGAAATAAAGTGGAATATTTCTGCTTTAAAAATAATAAAAACGATCAAATATAGTGATCCTCATATTCTGGGTTTTGCTTTTTGAGAGATGTAATTCTATCGAATAAATATTCTTTTTTCCGAAGTGCAATATTCATAGACTAATTCGAAAAATGTAGAGATCTGAATATGTACACAAATGACTGTATCATCCGTGAATTCGTACGATACAATACTTTATTGACTTGTTTTCTTTCTAATTCATTTATTTTTATTCCTTCATATTAAGCATGAATGTGTTATTTAGTTTCTGATCCTTTACGAGTAAGTCTCGATCAGGATCATATTTTGATTAAATTAAAATTCATGTTTATTCGGTAATATAAACAAAGAGGATAAGATGTATAAAATGGAAGATGACGCATTGAAGAGATTCGTAATATTTTAAACGTTACTTGGGCAGGATAATAGGAATCTGTTAAAAAATATATGCCAAGTTATTATTCTTTGAGTTTTTGAGGAGTTATTTCAAACTCTATTATCATGGCCATGTTAACAAACGTAATAGATTTATGAGGAGATGAAAATTGTGCTTCTGATTTTTTTTTTATTTAGATTATTTTTATGCTCGGCAAAAAAGGTAGTTTTATGTAACGTAAATATAATAAAATGTTATCAATTTTTCATCTCCACCTTGTAACTGTCTAAGTAAAAGTATAATTATTTTAAGTGTAAATTTTTTGTATAATATTTCATTTTTATTAATTTAGTCCATAATTGTATTCTCTTGTAAATAATCAGGTAATAATACTTCAAGAATTCGCATATCTGTATTCTGATTTTGTTCATTTTAATTATTATTATTAGCAATATTAGTCGATGTTAAGTATTTTTATAATTAAAAAAACAATATAGTCTTTTAGTTCAATTTAGCTGTATGATGTTACATTTTTGTAAAAAATGTATATTTTATATAAACATTTTATGTTTTATAAATATCTACTTTTGTAATTGTTATTAAGGTTAAATTTGGATTTGCCAAATTAATATAAGCCTTGTTTTAAATCTTCCATTAAAAAAAGGAATTTAATGTTTCTTTAAGATGCCAATATTGACGATAGAAGATTGACATAAAAATGGAAAATAAAAATTATAAATAAAATTTTTCTCTTTTTCTCATTATACACATCCCTAATTATGCTATACTGTTGAAAACAGCATTGGACTCGGCAACCAGTACAACGTTGTGTCAGAAAAGAGTTTTGTTGTGATAAAACTTTTTATAACTATAATAATCTGTATTACACCAATATAGAACACTAGCTTCCCGTAAGCGGCTTCGCTTGCATGGTCCTAAGGGACTGTTTAGTGGAAGAAAAGTATTCCATAAATTATTAATGAAAATGCTTATAAAATCCACTAGATCCCTGGCACCTTGTGATGGGATTCGAACCACAGCTACCCATTATCAATGTTCTATTCAGGCAATCCACCCAAACAGCCGGAAGAAATATTTTTACAAATATTTACACTTTCGATAAAGATAAAAATTTGTTATAAATGTATTAAATTTGATCAATCTCGCATTCAAAATGCTATACTGAAAAATATTATTAATTAAAAATACTTAAAAAATCCTCTTGGTCTCTGGCACCCTGAGATGGGATTGGAACCCGTGACCTTTCGCAATCCGGGGGATTTTTTAAAGCACAATGGTTACTATGGTAACGTTTAAATTTCCAATACAAATTCCACTCACATTTCCATCCCTTTATTTGCTGTTTTTCGTTATAAATTTGAGTCTATATCCACCGCATAATTATGACGTAGCTTCCTGTAGGTGAAAGAATTTAAAAAATAGGGTCCTATTCGATATAAATAAACAATCAAATCATTCCTCTTTATAATATTAGAATAGATTACTAAGAAAAAAGTATAAGTATACCAAAGGCGGCCTTGTTGTTATGCAGTAATTTGTTCCAGGTGGTGGTGGTATTGAAAAATAGATAAATATATAATAGCGATGACGGGAATACGAGATAGATATAGCTAAAGAGGGAAAGGGATATCTATATGAAAGAATAATGAGTTGGAAAGAAAGTAACTCCATTTCTGCGGTGAAGGATTACAAAGTAAGAGTTTTCGTAATATCTTCCAAGTTCCATAGCTTGCACATAAAGAAAATAAGATAGGAAATTGAAGAAGTTAGGTGGAATATCAAGGGTGAGGTTAGAGGCAAAGCGCGAGTTGCGATGATTAAAAAAATTGTATTTATGGTAAAGTAGGGAAGTTGGTAAGAAAGGAATAGAATAGAGTAACGTATGATGAAAAGTAAGTTCCTTGCGCCGGCGAATAGGAAGGCAGTTAAAAGCAGAAATGTGAGACATACTTAGTCATACCAACGAAGGTAAAAAACAATATACTGCAGAAATTCTAACTTGTTAAGAAATTTTCAGTTAGATCAGTATTGCTATACTGACGGTAGTAAACGAAAGAAAATATGATACATATTTGATTGAACTTTATAAAGAAAAACTTATATATGTGGCAGCACGTCGACTTCGAGGTTGTTTTTAGGGGAAAAAAAACGGAAATCCATAGAATCACTTTCTTGCCCATCTGTGTCTGTCTGTAAATACCCTTTATTTCGGGAATGCGTTTTGTTATCGAGTTGAAATCATATACTCAGGTTTACAGTCCCTTGTAGCTGTGAACGATGAAGCTTCTAAAAAGGGATCAAAAAAGAAATGGCCATACTTTTACACTTTCACGGGAACCAAACAGTTACTTCTCCTTATGGTAGACAAGACAAGAGAAAATCAGGGACCTATAAATTTGTAATTTAACAAAAAAAAATTTGTTCGAGTGATGTGTCTTACCTTATGAAAGGGCTAAATATAATATACTTTTTTTAAAGATGCACACATATGTTTAAAATATGTTTTAATATATGTGCATATATTAAAACATATTTTATTGATTTTCACGATCCACATCTTCCTATTTATAATGAAAAATATCGCATTAGATACTTAAATAAAAAGCAAGTATAATTGGCATACTAGACTTATAAGTATAACCATACAACTTATTTCGCTTATAAAAAACAAAGTATGTAACATGTTGTGTAAAATAGTTTTATCTAATCGTACATACATTCATTACAATGATTGTCAAATTAAAAATCCGATATTTTAAAAATGTTCCATTTATTTATTGGACTTGATTTCTTTCCTTGAAATTTGTCCCCTGGGAACTTTTAAGTCGGAAATTACATAAGCAGTACTGCTGTGACTCGATAGCAAAGTTTCAAATAGGATCTTTCATATAAGCTGATCAGTCACAGTCGCCCAGTTTGAGAAAGGTAGTTGGTTCGAGACCTATCACAGACTACCTGTGGTGACTGTTGGTGGTGTTTTTTAAGCATTTTTTATTAAGATTATTTTTCAGTATGGCATTGTGAATTTAAAATTGTTCAAATATAATAAAGAATATGTTTTTCCTTTGTTTATTTAGAATTAATATTTTTTTAGAGAAAAATAAATCTGACCGTAGTTTAATATGATCTTAGGAAATATTAAAATACTTTATTAAAACAGTCAAGTAGCCAATTGGAATTCTATGATATGGGTTATTATAGTGCCTATGTAACTTCAGTGGGAGTATATTTTTGGACGGAAATAAAGACGTAGAATCAAAAAACTGTCCCTGTTTATCTTAATGGGGATGGCA